AACCCAGGCCACCGCAAACGACGGAGGTCACTGCGGTAAGTTTGGACAGGGTGAAACCGAGGACTGCATACCCTGCGAAAGAATGGAGGAAGCTGCTAAAGAAACACGGGATACACCCAATTGCCATCTGGTTCCCGTGGAGAACGTCTGTCGAGATACTGATAAAAACCGAGGAACTGACCACGATGAAGCGCCTAGCAAAAGCCATGAACCGAGAAGCCCAGATTCTGGACCCGACGAAACGAAAGGACGGGCAACCACTACCACTATCACAGGCGGCACTAACCACGGCTGTGAATATACGACTAAAGGACTTGGAGTACGAGAGGCATTGGGATGCCAGGAGGTACCTGGAACTGATCACCAGGAAAATGATAGGACTGATAGAGGACGACATGACAAAAACGGTCATGTTCCACAAGCTAACGACCATAGTGTCGCCGCAGACCAGCACCCCGTCGGACAACCCGTTTCTACCATAACAGCAGAGGCGGATGAACAGGAGGCTGTCGACCAGGCCGCTGCTAAACAAGCTTACCCCACTTTGAGGGATAGGACGAGGCACAAGTACTACCAAGTCATGACGGTCAATGTGGATGGCTTTAGTGACAAAAAGGAACTGCAACTACGGAACTGGATATTGTATACCAGACCGCATGTCGTCATACTGACAGAAACGTGCACAAATCTACACCGCTCTGCCTACGATGGTCGATATGTTACGATCGGGATTGCTGGAGCGGCAGATGGGGTAGCTGCGATGATACGGCAAGATGTCCAATACCGAATCACCACCAAGACAACACGCATAATAATCCTCGAGATCGATGATTTAGTCACAATAGTTGGGGCATATGGACCCACTGAGCAAACAGCGGACACGATCAAAGCCCAATTCTGGGAGTATCTTACAAATGCTATCAAGACTACAAAACCACTGCTAGTAGCTGGTGACTTTAATGCAGGACACGAGCCGACTGAATCCAGAACCATCAGAGGTTTGCCGAACCATTATAGACTGGAGAGACTAGCTTTGCATCATAACCTGATCATACTTCAAACCGCACCCACATGGATCTCAAAAAGATCAAAAGACGGTAAACCAAGCCGGACGCTGGACCGCATACTCATCAGTGAGGATACCTGCCAAGCGCAGGATAATGTAGTCCACTTGGACTGGGAGAATGCACCTGCTGACCATGCGATACTAACGGTCAAATGGACGCTAAACCAAATCAGCTACCACGCAAAACGGCCGAAAGCCGGACTCATCACTCGTGACGCCGATAAGCCAACTACAAAGGCATGGCTGAAACTACGTAACGAACTCAAGGAACGTTTTCGCAAGATACCAGTAAAAATACATCTACCAATTCAGAACCAATTGCTGTGGGATCAATATAGGAGGTGCAACGGACAGGAGGGCTTAACTTTAATGGACGATGAAGGTAATGACCTGAATCCGGAAGAGGCCAGAAGACAGCTGGCGAAGATGCTACAGGACCGATGGAGTCATGCTGATGGAAAGCATATCCCCAAACGGACTGAATCGCAGTTTGGCGAGGGCTTCCCTCCAACTACGCGCGAAATCTTAAAGGCGAT